TGAATGCTAGAAATCATGAGGCAACCAGAATAACTAATTTCTGTGACTGATTTGTCTTACTTCCATGAGGAGTAGTCTCCTGAAAGCAGATCGGTAGCAGCCTAATGTGGCCCACCAGAGAGAAGGAAATCAGTGGCTGCAGTGCAGTGTCTCTTCAGCCTAAAATGTTTTCTGTCCCAAGCTGGGGACGTTGTGACAGTGTTGCATGCACAGGGACCACTTTGGTTGTACGGCCTTAACACAGGTTGTTCTATAATTGTTTTTGGTTTAGTCTTCTGCAAGGGAAAAAACTTAAATCCGCTGAGATTTTGGGGATAATAAAAGCCTTCATAAAATATGCTGCATATTCAAGTCATAGTACAGCAGTTGATGCTGAGTCAAAGATAATTTTTGCCCTCAAAACCGGTCGACTGCTCCCTGGGCTTCTGAGGGGTAATGCTATCACCCCTCTTTCCATTTCACAAGGGAGGAAACTGGGCTGTCCTCAGAGAGCTGTCATGTCTTGCTTCTGCTCTTCTGGGTTTCAAGTAGAAGCGTGTGCGTGTGTTCGTGTAGAAGGAAGAGAGAAGGGTGCTGAGCACAGAGCAATGCCTCTTCCTTGTGTCTTTCTACAGGTGACCTGCTGCCCTGCTGTGTGCTGACATGATGACAGCTAGCAAGGCGGCCGATGTGAGCAGCAAGTCTGAAATCAGCATCTACAACTCTGTTGAGAGGTGAGAGCTTTCCATGTTTGTGTGGGGTGCTTTGCTTGTGTTTATTATCCCCAACAGAAAGAAAATCAAAGGAAACGTTCTCTCTGCTCTGCACTATCCCTCTCTCCTCACATGTTAAAACACACGCCTGGATGTCTCAGGCAGTTTCATTGCCATCTCAGGACTGTGACACTGTGCATTTTAGCATCCAGTCAGACTGATAATCACCTAGACTCACAGTGCTAGAAGAGGTCTGCCCCAAGGCAAGACCATTTGTGCTCATGACATCCCTGTCAATGTTTGTCTCACCTGCACTTGAAATCTTCAATGCTGGGGACTCTGAGGACAAGCCCTACAGTCCCCACTCTTTGCAGGTTTTTCCCAGTGTCCAACGTTGGTTTCTACTGTGCAGTCCAACCACCAGTGGCACTGTGATGCCCTGCTCCTTGGGAAAGGCCATAATGTTCAGAGGACCAGCTCATAACCAAAGCATGATGGTGTCACTGAGACAGCGAGGAGTTAAATATCTGTGAGGCTAGGGAAGAACAGTATCTGGCTCAGGTCCCATTTCTGCTCAGAAACCCGTCCCAGACTCAATTTGCACTACAACTGAGTCTGCAATGGCTGCCAGCATTGCTTAACTCCAGGACAAAGCTCGAGGCCTGCCAGCACACAGGGTATCCACATGGATGCTCTTACAAGACCACTAAGTTCTGGAAGAGGCACACTTGATACATTTAAGTTCATAGAGCAATTTCCTGAGTTGAATCTCAGTGTTGGGATCACGGTTAAATGGAACTAATGATAGGGATTTTTCATTCCAGTAACTACCTTATGTTGTCCTGGTACTCCTTCCCAAGCCCAGGCAAACCTGAAAGACATGGCTAAGCACTCTGGTACAGAAACATTTTGCGTTGAAATAACTGTCTGTTCAGCTGGAACTTTACTATATTGATAATATATCACAATATTGGTATTGTGATATCACACACTTGGAAATCTCTAGATTAAATATATTAGGGATTTTTGCTGCGATTTGGACTCAACCAGTGAAGTTGTTTAATCCTCTGGGAATATTATATCTGTGTCTGGGTGCTACGACATGTGCCCTAGGCTGAGGAGGTGTGCCTGGGTGCATGGGAGCCCAAGCCCACATATGACCTGGGATGGTAGTGCTATAGAAATATTAATAATAAAAGTGCACTATTTGTGCATTAATATGCATTGGGAAACATTTGGATGTACTGAGAAAGTTCCGCTGAGCAGGCACTAGAGGAATACCAGCTGTATCATATGTTTTCTCCTCTGTTTAACAGCAGCAATTTTGCTGTTATTTGCAAATGGTCCTTTTTGCATTTATTTTCAGCGGACCTGCTTAATGCCCTGATGATGTCCAAAACTCTACTGCACTTCTGCACACACACACATGCATACAAAAATACTGGTGAACTCTCATTGGTATCAGCATGTACAAAAAATACTTATCTCACCTGCCATCTATTTCTGCCACAAAGAAAGGCTTCATTTCAAACTGCGTCTTAGTCAAAACAAGAGGAGAGCATTGTGTTCTGGCTAGAAGGATCTTTCCCCGAGGGTCCTCCTATCTCTCAAGTGCTTGGTTTGAGCATCCTCTGCTGTTATCAGCTTTATGAGTAGAGCTGATGGACTAGACCAAGGGTGAGCAATGGCAGTGAATGTTTCTTCTCTTTTTGTCTTTGGTATGTAGGATCAAGCTTGCAGATAAAAACAATACTGCATCTGTGAAGGAATTAGAAAGACCTTTGTGTGGATTTTTGAGTGAGAAATGTTCTGAAGGTGCCTCTCTCATCCTGGGTTTAACACCTGAAGCTGAACCCGTTTCTTCTGTGGTAAAGAATCCACTGGGAGCCTTGGAGAACTTGATGCTGGATGCAAGGCTAGACTGCTTTCAGCAGAACATGCTTAGTCCCAAAATGATCATCAGTGACCCATCTGTGGATCTGAACGTTAAAGAAAACAGTAAAATTATCAGGAGACAGATAGGAGGCACTCAGAATGTACGGTCACCTGGAAGAATTGGCTTGAGGAATAAGTCCTTCAGCATCAAGGACAAAATTTCAGAATGGGAAGGGAAAAAGGAAACGCAGCCTGCTCCTCGCAGAGAGGAGGAGCAGGGAGTTAAAGAGGAGCACAGGGTGCCCTGTGTACCTGAGAAGATGAGTGGTGAAGCACTGGTGACTCGGAAAGGGGAGACGAAGAGACTTATGAACTGGGAACTGGAGTACAAAGGGGCAGGCAAAGAGAATGAGCGGAAAGCAGGAACTCAGAAGGGCACAGGTCAGGCAGCAGAGCGAAAGGGGGAGGCGCAGAAGGATGAGGAAGTAGAGTCCAGCCCTGGAAAATGCAAGGAGGTGAAAGGTGGGAAGTGGGAGGTCCAGAAGGAGAATCTTTCAGTGCTTAGTCAGGTCAAGAAGCTAGAGCAGGCTTTGAAGGATGGCTCAGCAGAGGTGCAGCCACAGTTGCCTGGTACTTACTATTCCCCACAGTGCCTGCAGGAGAAGGCAGTACAAGGACACACTGCTCCTGAGGGCCATGAGAGCATATATGGGGCAGAGCTCAACAGAAGGCTTCTTGGCTTGGACTCTGAAATCAGTGAGCCAATTTTTGGGACTCTAGAAGAGGTAAGAACTTCTCATGTGAAATCCAAGGACTCCACAGTGGAGAATGTGTACACAGAGCCAGGGATGCCAGAGAAGAAACCCTTCATCAACCCACTGCCAAAGCCCCGACGGACTTTCAAACATGAGGGGGAAGAGGACTGGGTGCCAGCAGCTAGGAATAAAAGAAACTTGCCCCCTCTGCCATCCATTCCTCCCCCTCCTCTACCTTCCTCTCCTCCCCCGTCAGCTGTCAGCAGGAGGCTCTGGAGTGGGAAGCACAAGAACAACGCTGACCACAGGTATTCGGGCTATGTCTCACAAAGGTATTGGTCTTGGTGGTGGAGTCCCACCTTCCCATATCTCTCTGGGAGAGATGGATCTTCTCTAGTCACTCATAATCCCCAGAGAGCCTTGCTGGCCATAACCAGCACTCAGTCATCCCTCTGAGAACGTATGAGTGGCCAGCAGAACTTCACAGGGTAACTGTGAAGGGATAATCATGCCAGATTTGGGCTTTAAGGTCACTGTATTATGTGGCTTAACCTTCAAGCCCAAGATTGGGGGGTTTGGGATTTTGTTTGGTTTTTTTTTTAGCAGAAAATCTATTTAATTACAAAATTACTACAGCTGGTCTGGAACAGGATCTGGAATGATAATCTCTAGATTCTACTGCAGCATTTTCACTGTTCATAGTAAACGTATTCCTCTACTGAATCTGATGTGTGTATATTCTTCTGGAGTGCTTTCTTGCTTTTTCTCCCCTCCCGCATGATTGTCACAGATTTTTGAGGTGGGGAGCATAAAATGCACAGCTGTTTCTAATGCCGTCTGCATAAACTGTCATCTGAAAATTCATGGCTTGGGTGCAGGAAGGAAATTGAAACTTTACAGGTCTGTTAGTGAAGGACACTTAATTGTTTTTACCCTTTCTACCATCCTGCATGCAAGTATTGCTTTCCTGTACTCCTCAAAGAGAGCTGATTTTGGGGGCCCCCTGTTCCTGCCAAGAGTGGGATCTGTGCTGTAAATGGGAGCGCTCATAGCCTAAGGTTCTGTGCCATGTTGCAGGATGTGCCATGTGACACTTGCATCTTCACAGTGTGCTATTGCCGTGACATCCCAGGTTATCTACAGCATCCCTAAAAAGCCTTTATTTATGTGGCTGATAAAAATAACCGATCTCAGTGTTACTTTTTCATGCTTTATATGGGATGAGGCTGTGAAATGTTCTCTTCTCAGTAATTCATTTTGCCAGCTGTGTGGCATGTTGGAGAAGTGAATTAGCTGTGATTTGGTTATAAATGCTGGTTAACTGTATCACTCTCCTCTTTGTTCCTTCTCTTCCCATCAATGGTGCAGGAAGTCGTATGAGTTTGAAGACTTGCTGCAGTCATCATCTGAGAACGGCCGGGTGGATTGGTATGCGCAGACCAAGCTGGCCCTCACACGCACTTTATCTGAGGAGAACGTCTATGAAGACATCCTGGGTAGGAGCTTTGCACAGGGAAGGGATTTGACTGCTGATGCTGAGTAATTGAGAAGACTCGTGGTTAACAGGCACTCACCGGAGGTGCTGAATAAAGTATTTTTATTATCCAAAAGCAAACCAAGACACATTTTACGCAGATTATGGGCAAGTAATAAGAAAAATGGGCAGAATGTTTCAAAACTCATCAGCTTCAAAGATGAACCTGAGCCATGTGGGAACCAGCTTTTATTTTTTGCTGGCATCTCTCCTCTGTCTTCCCTTTGTCCTGTGGGCTAATTCTCACAGCTCTAGTCTGTCCATTGTGGTGAGCTTGTCACTGCTGAGGTAATGCGAAGTCTGAAAACATAGCCTTGAAGTCAATTCCATGGTTCAGAAATAGGGTTGTGTGTGGATCCAGGTACCATTGAAACTAAGAATCTAGGTCCCACAATCTTTGAAATTGAGTTTTATTTTGTTCTCATAACTTCAATGGCAGATCAATGCCATTTTAAAGATTATTTTCTGTAGCACTCTCAATTTATATAACGTTTTTTAATACTGTGAGTTAGATGGCCTTTTATGGAACATAGAATAGAAGCATCCCTCTTGAAGAAACCTTAATAAGTTTTAGTAGCTGTAGGCTGGTGCTGTGTAAACTCAGCTCTTGGCTGAGTTTAGCAGAATAGGAAGAGAATAGCTGCATCAGCTCTCACCATGCAGCTGTAATCCTACAAAGGTGGCCTGTGTTGTTCGGAATGGGAGGAGCTGTGCTTTCTCAGGAGCAGGCCAGGCATTATTATTTTGGTATGAATAACATCTGATCATACTTGATCAGGATCTCTCAAAGGAATCATGTTGCTTTGGGACTGATGGCAGACAAGGTGATACCAGTCTGTCCTTCTGACATTTTTGAAGCTGTCGGCCTCATTTGTGGGACTAGGGGCCTCATGTTGGCTTTTTTCTTCTCTTTACTTGGGTTTGGTGGGGAGGCAAAGGAGCAGGGAGGGCCTGAGCAGCTGCTGAGGGTTTTTTTGTGTTGGGGCGTGGTGGGAGGTCTCAGAAACCACTGAGTAAGGGTCACCTCGTCAGCTGGAATAACATGGATAGCATTACAGAGTGGCTGTATAGGCAAATCCATCCATTCAAACACAAGCATACCCCTGTGCCCAAGCTTGCAGGGAACTCAAATACCAGGCTGAAATTCCTCTCCCTTCCAGCTTTTAGTTGCAAAGATGAGAAGAAAATAAAGTTATGAGTAATTGTCAGCTAATGTTTTTTTGTTTTCTTGCTGCATGTTTTGGCTTTGCCTGGAGTCAGAGATCTTTAACTGGCTCATGCAGTCCTGGTGGTGTTATTGTGGAAGCTTGCGAAAAGAGGTGATCAGAGATAACTCAAAAAAAGCTACATTTTTTTTTTCACAAGACCACAGGTGGATGTAGTCCACAAAACAAACAATATGTGAAAACCACACCAATAGAGGGGGAACCAAGACTTCAGCCACAGGACACTAGTGCTGACCCACAGATAATCCATGTGTGTCCATCAGGGCATGCAAGCACACACATACACTCCATATTCATGTGCCTGACTTGGGGGGGTTCAGCTGTTGGTGGGAGAACCATTCCCTTTCCCAGCAAGTCACACAGATTCCTTTCATGCACCATCATTTTACCTGTTCACCGTTGCTTACCTGGAATACTGGAAATTGTACTGGGCAGTGGGTGACAAGGTTTATTTGTCAAAAAGAGGGAAAAGGTGTTTGTTCTTCTAGACTGAGGCTAATTTGACATAGTAAATTGCACAGCTTGAGGATAGGGTAGGCAACAGAACTCAAGCTTGTTCTTTTTTCTCCAATCTACCCAGTTACGTGACAGCTGAAGTATATTTTCAATACTCAAGTGTGCTGTTGAAATTAGAAAGTAGCGCCACTTTCAGGGACACCAGCATGTTTGCTGGTGTCACACATGCTTACCTTCTCCTTGGTGAATTCAGATCCACCCTTGTAGTGCTGGATATCACCGAGCCACAGATAGAAGACGGTATTGGAAAAGACTTGGGTTTCTGTCCTTGTCTGAAGACTTCAGCTGCACTCCTGCCCCAGCAGGGCAGGCAGGTGGGAGCATGCCACTTAAATCCTGCAGCCGTTCCCGGTCCCTGCTCCAGAAGCCTGCAGCATCAGTGACCTTCAGTCTTTGCTCTCAGACAAGCATTACATAACAGTAAGAGAAAGGTAGTTGTTTCGAGCCCCAGCTATCCACTGGGATGGCAAGAAATTATGGCAATGAAGAGAGAAATCTCGTAGGGATTTCTTGTTGGGATAAGCCTTTGTCATTGTTTCTTTAGATGCTCGGATGGATATGTCACAACCTGCTTTTTCAGAGTTGCGTGTTCTTTTTGTGTTTGCATTTCCCAGCACTGCTGAAAAGTGGGATGTAAGAAGTTCATTATATGTAATTTTGGGTGTTTAAAACTCAGAGGTTAGTTGTGTGCCTCATCTCCAGAATCAGTGGAAAGAAAGAGACATGTCTGTGTGGTCATTCAAGACTTAGTTTTTGAGGGGATCCTAGGTAAGAATGAGCTGAATGTTACTTCAGAGGTGTCCCTCCCCTCCACCCCCTTCCAGGAAGAGAGCATTCTGAGTTTGAATGGCCTAGGTTGGGTGAGGTGAATCCTTCCCTCTTTCTGAAGTGGGGTGTGTGAGATTGAGGCATCCATGATTGGTAGATGTGTTTGAAAACCTGTGTTGTGTGACAAACATCCATGTTCAGAGAATGGATTAAATATTTCTGCAGAGTCAGCCCAAGAGCAGTGCATTGCTTCAGCCCCAATTAAATGATGACCAGAGGTCTCCCTAAATAAGGGGTTTAAACAGAGGCGAGAGGACCCTTATGCTAGCCTTCATCTCACAGTTTCATGTGTTCTAAGCAGAAGACTGGAAAGAAGGAAATGCAATCATGGAGTGATGTGCATGAGAACCTCACAGCTCCTCTGAAAACAGGGAAATGAACTTAAGGACTCGCTGCATCTTTTCCATCTGTAGTATCTGTGATATGTTCCTATGGCTGCATATGTCAGTGTCAGGGTTTGGACACTGTCCAGTGAGCAGCTGGACTTCTAGGGCTATAGAGAGAATTAAGCAATTGCAGGAAAATTGAGAACAGGTCTATGCCTGATGTGGGAGGTGGGAGAAGGCCAGCAGATCCCCAAACAGATTTTTATGGCAAACCTCAAGGATTTTCTGCACTTACAATCTCTTGCTTGTGGCTTTTTTGCTGCAGATCCACCGTCGAAGGAAAACCCTTATGAAGACATTGAGACCAACAGCCACCAGCCGCTGTTTGGGGAAGAAATGTGTCCTGACCTTCCCAGCATCCCCCACCTCTTCTGTACCTGGGACTCCCACTAAGGTACTTTGATTCAAGTGGCCACCTCTCCTGCTCCAGAAAGTTTCTGGGTGAAATCCAGGTTCTGTGTGGAAAAAGTGGAATTTTGCCGATTTGACTTTCATCATGTTGGTCTTTTTTCTTTTTTGTCTTTTACCACTGGTCAGAGTACAGTGTGATAAGAGGGTATTTATTGACCTTTAGCAAAGTAAAAAAGAACATTCCTTTATACAAATGGTTTGTTGGCTTCCACTGTTTTCCACACCAGGGCTACCTTCCCCTTGAAGGGGGGGTAATATAATAATAATATAATTAAT